GTCTTTTTGGGTTGTGTAAATCTTAACCTACACGGCAAGGGCCGAATATCAACCAAGTTGGGTTCTAAGACCCGCTTGGGATTCGAACCCACGCCTGGCCGGTAAGTTAGTCCGAGTTCTCTATAGGCCATGCACCTTCGACGACTCGGCTAACGTCACCGGTTTTCTCGAATTATTTTTGATGACATAATTTAATTATGAATGCTCAGAAAACTGAGTCAGAGGCTGCCAATTGCTTTAAAATCATTTGGTGTGCTTGTGAGATATTTAATTTAAAAAATAAGATCTCCTGGCCTACAAGATTATTCAGTTTGAAAATATTTTCCTGAACCCCTAAACCAAGAAAGAAAGTGCAAAAAAATTATGAATCTTTTTTTTCGTGCTATTACTTTGAATTGCGTGAGAACTATGAGTCTAAAATTTTTTTCATCGGGAGTTCCAAATACTAGAATTTTCTCAAGAGAACTCTTTTTTTTTTATCTTGATATTATTTTTACTCAAGCGAAACCCGTCAAAAATTACGACAAAGTTTTAAAATTTTTTTTACTACCTCAATTTTTGTTAGGAATATATTGCTTCAACTAACAATGTCTCTTTTTTGGGTGATTTGTTCCTCTCTTTGGGTTCTTTCGTAGACTTATCGATAAGAAAATGTTATTTTTTTAACGATATTTCATTTTCGGATGAAGAAATTTTTTTTTCATTCTTTCAGGGAGTACCCCATTTTGCCCGCAAAAAAAAAAATTTTTTTTTACGGCAACTTGAAATTTGATTATTTTCCTTCAATTACGACTGAAAACGAGAAAAATCAGCGTATTTAAGTCCTTAAAATCATAACGATTGGTTAAGTGCCCCATTTTGCCCCCCCTCCCCTAAATAACTTACGGTAAAAATAACTCATCTATGTAGAAATCGGCTTTTAAAATCTTAATTAATTCAATCGTAACAAATAACTCAATACATGATTATGAAAAATGAATAATGAGATTAATGTCGAAATAAAATGATAAATACATAATTAGAATACTCTAGATTCAAAAATTTATAATATCTATAGATATTTATAATATCTAAATATATTTACAAAATTTTATCGAAAATTATTTATGATTATTAAAGCCACGTTAAAAACAGTACTTCTTAAACTATTAAGTAAAACAAACGAAATTATTAATTTGCTATTCATTTTCTTATCAATACTATTACTTATTGTTACCAAATATCATGTTTCAAATACGTGCGTGAGTAACCGATAAGCCGCGTCTTGATGCAGAGTATTTGTTTATTAATACTGCAAAATATATTCTCACTGCGCAAGTCGTCAGTTCCCACTCCGTTATCGTGCATATACATACTCTCTTTTTTCAGAAGAAGTGAGAAAACATACTTAAGTAACGCTGTAAGTCTAACCTATAAAATATATGCAATAGAAACAAAAGCTTGTTGACAATAAGTGCAAGTTATTTTCATTAAAAAATACCGTAACAATAAGATCAAATTTTATTTAAAGTATTTGAAATAAATCACAAATATAACAACATGGTAGTTGCTCAAACAATGCCTTTGGGTCTCAGTGGAATGATAACTTACAATAAACAGAATAAAAATGTTTACGGAGTGCGCATACCCGGTGACATGAGTTATGATTATTTACGCCGTGAAATATTGTTTGGAACAATTCCTGTGAACACAATTGTCCAAATTGGATACATCGATTATTACAATATTTATGCGCCGTTATTATACGATTGTACTAAGTTTTCCAAGGTCACGGGAAACGATAATGATAATGATGATGATGACGACGACGATTCTGATGATTGGGAATACATGCTTAACAACTGGGCTGCTGTTGCTCCTCTTAACAATATGGCCATAAGTGTCAATATTGGTGGAAATTCATCAAGTCAAACGATTACAGGAGGTTATTCACTAGTACCAATGGCTGTTAGCAGTGCTCCAGCAAGTCAGGTAATTGTTAATAGTTCTTCAGCAAGTCAGTTAAGCTTTAGTTTTGGTGGAAACCTAGCCAGTCAAGTAAGCATCGGTGGTAATCAAGCTGGCCAACTGAATCCTATTGACAATGATATTATCCAAGAGATGGGTGGCTTCAAAAGCTTAACAGTCTCTCATGTTGCTATGCTGCTAAATGACGATGAACTGTTGGAATTCCTTTTCGACAACAAAGTAGACATAATGAAGTCAACACATGACTGTGGACCGATCATCTTCCTGGCGATTGCTACAAAGAGGCTGGGCTACATAAAAAGAATCCTTGATTCTGGGTTTTTGCTAGACTACCGTGCTAAGGCACCAGAGCTTTCATTGTTTGGCAATCATTCAGCACTAGAAGTTGCTGTAAACTTCAATGACTACAAGATGATCGAATTTATGATAAGCCAGGGAGCTAAAGTCAACGTCGATGAACCAAATGCACTTATCTCACCATTACAAGTTGCAGCTAAAAAAGGTAACGTTAAAATGATGAAGTTCCTGATAGAACGCGGCGCTGTTGTCAATGAAAACGTGCTCAAATTCGCTTCTAAGTCTGGGGTGAATCTGAAAGCTATCAAGTTTTTGTTGAACAACCCTGCAGTGAAACTAACTTCTGAAGGAAATGATGAAAGCCCTAGTAAGCCTAGTCTTCCTGGTTTTGGTAGTTTTAATAAATACGAAAACTCGATACTTTTTTGGCCAATGATTTATGGCAGCAAGCAGATTCTCACTTGTCTTTTGAACGCTGGTGCTGATGTCAATGTCATCGGTAAGGATGGGAAAATGTTCTACGAAGCTCATGGAGCTCATAAAGGTAGTGTTGAGATGGTCAAGGAACACTTGGTCAAGTTAATAGCAGCTGATCTTGAAGTTTGTGACAAAAACAGGGAAAATGTGAAGGGTGAAGAGTATGCAGTGTTCCTTGAAAAGTGTCAAAATGAAGTTGAGGTTATGAAGAGTATTCCTGTTAGTGGGACTGATTTAACCTGCTATGACTTGCTGCAAAAAGAAGAAGATGAGCTAATTGTCTGCTTAAAACATTTTGACAACTGTGTTGTTTTGGAAAATAACTTGATCAAGATTTTTCCGCTCTACGGAGGGATGCTTGCCAGTCGCTTAAAAAGATGTACGATTCAGTCAATTTAGATAAGCAGTTGTCATATTTTTAATATTAAACTTTCTTGTAATAATATTGAAATCAAATTTTGAAGTTCTATTTCTTATTTTGAATTGAGATTCTAATGAAACTTATTTTGAGTTTTGTAAAAGTATATTCAAATTAAAGTTCTTGAGAATTGTTTTGGAATTTTTGAAAATTAATAAAATATTTTTTGGATAAAAGTCTTTCAGGAATTATTCAATTTATTTTTAATTTAATATTCAAAATTTTTTCAGGTTGAAAAAAGCTTTTCAATCGAAAGGAATTTCCATATCTGAAAATTTTTGATGCTAAACTGATTGAAATTCTATCTTTAGACAAACAATTGCGCTTTTTGATTGAACTCTTTCTTTTCATATATATTTTATTAGCTTGTTGCTTATATGAAATTTAAGCTGCATCATATTTTTTCTCTTTGGTAAACTAACTCTGGCATAAGCACACCTACAAAAATATTTTCTTGATGATCTTATCAATTTGAAGAGCGTATCAAGTACCAATGGATTTAATTTTGAACTTTTACAAATAATAAAGTGTTAAATAATCTAGGAGTATGTAATCGAAAATTAACCATAAATTTTACTTTTTCAGAATAAATGAAAAATTTTTTAATATTTTTCACATTTTTAACATACGATTTAATAATCATATTATAAGATTGCAAGTTAGCGTCATAACCGTTATTTGTATTGCCAGAAGGACACTCAGCAGCTTTCAACAAAGTAAGCAGAGTCTTATTCCGCAGTTGGTGATGCAGCCACCAGTCTTATCGATCAAAAAATGTGACTTATGAAAGATAATTCAGTAACCAGTAGATAATATCCCTGATAGTGAACCCAGATAGCCGTCGTGATAGTAACTTGCCAGAAATCTTCTGCCGGAATTGGTAGTTAAATTGACGGCAAACGTTGTAAAGTATAAAGTGTGGGTAAATCGGCAGTAAATTTCCAAGTACTTGAGTACAAATTAATTACTAAAGTTTCCCAGTTAGCACAACCAATGAAAAGTTTACGTCAAGTTAATAGTATAACTTCACGTAAACCTAGTGACGGAATTGGAAATCAAGTTAACAGCAAAAGTTCATGTTCAATAGTTAACGTAAACTTTTTGTCAACTTTAGTGCAACTCTTGTCAGTTCCGTAGATGCGTGGAGATTATTGTCTTACCGATGAAATTTCATGATGCCGATAAGAATAACTTTAATTTTATCAACATAGTCAGATTTAATACTAGATGGCGCCACGGCCAAACGAGAAAAAAAATTTAAAAATACCTGAAATTTTTGGAAATCGGCAAGAAATTTTATAATATAAATTCTTTCTCAGCTTTTTATTTAGGAATAAGATGTTTAAATCATTTCATTATTTTATATAAAAATTACATTATTGCAATATTAAATTGCACTTCTGAATTAAAAATTAAAGTTTTAAAATATAACTGAATATTACTTATAAAAAAATTACTGAATTTTAATAAAAAATAAATATCGAATCTTTATGAAGTCGACTCTGGATATTTGTCGATATTTTTTCTTGGCACCATCTTCGTACTCAGTATCTCAACTACCTCTTTTTGCATAAAAATAATATATTTTATTTTATTTTATAATTTATATAATTTATGTATAAAGGAGGGGGGGGGGGCAAAATGGGGTAGGGGTGGCAAATGGAGTACCCCCAAAATTTCGTAAAAAAAAATTTTTTTTTCCAAAAAGCTCTTTTAGCTTGCTAAAATTTTAACGTCATTTCCTACAATTTCAGAGGAAAAAAAATTTTTTGATTAAAAAACAAAAAAATTTTATTTTTTTTATTTTTTTTACATACAGTAAAGAAATTTTCGGCAAATTTAACACAAATATTTGTGTTACTGACTGTTTTTATACAAACTAATGTTAATTTTACATTCTAGTGGGTTAAATCAACACATGAGAATGTAAAATTCTACACACTAGAGTGTAATTTGCTACACAAAAATTTTTACACTTTGAACATTGACGAAAAATTTTTTACTGTGCAGTAATTTTTATCGTCATTGTGCATCATAATAATTTTTTTTTACATCTAAGATTTTTTTTTCTAAATTTTCAAGTTCTCACTTTACAAATAAATCGCGTTACTGATGCCATAAGGGCGTATCTTCAAAAAAATACCCTTGAAAAGCCATAAGGGCGTATAAAAAATTATTTTCCGGGAATCGACGTAGTTATGCCTGGAACGGGCAGAAATGCAAAAAAAAATTTTGGTACGCCCTTATGGCACCCAGAGTACCTACCGGGAGCCATAAGGGCGTACCAAAAAATTTCAAATTTGAAAAAAATTTTTTTTCGTCATTTCTACGCGTTTCAAGTAAAAATACGTTGTTTCCCGAAAAAAAAAATTTTTGGTACGCC